AGTATCTAGCAGGATGTGTCCACACAAACGACCTGGATTGATCTTCTGCAGAGGAAACGAGGCTCGTGGATTAGATCGCGCGACCATCTCGTCTCTATGTAATGTCGCTCTAAAAATCGACCTCAACGGGTCGATGGACTGCCACATGAGTAGGACGACGCGGGATGTGAGGGGAAAGGTGGTATCGCACGTTGCGATTGTCCGGCGCGTCTCGACTCGCGAATTTCAGACGTCATAAATTTGAGGATAGGTTTTTTTTTCTATTTATCTTCCCGATAACGACACGAGCTGCGTTACATGCCAGACCTCCCAGGCAGAGGAGGTGGAAAAGGAGAAGGGAGGACCGACCTACCTGATAAACGGCCGCGCGAGGCAAATCGAGGCATACTGCGCAGCAGAGGATGCCGCCCAGACGGTGCTCCAGCTTCTGCTCCGTTTTTGCGGCGTCCTCGGCGCGAACTGTCCTACGCCGCTTCTTGTCAGGCTCGTGGAAGTCTTCGGACTTGTCGTGTTCCTCGCGTAGCGGGGCCGCGATGACGGCGGCCGCCGCTGTCGCAGCTACCTGCTCCGCGACGCCGCTCGACGATGCGGGCTCGTTGCTCGGGTCCGCCATGTTGCTTGTTTTGGAGTTTTCCCCTGAGCGAACGCGAGAAATGCGCAGATGTAAAGAGACGCCGTTCCTCCACCTCCTACACTTCTCTCTCTCTCTCTCTCTCTCTCTCTCTCTCTCTCTCTCTCACTGTCACTCGTCCTAACCTGACGTAATGCAATGCGCGCACTGTCCCTTTCCGTTTCTTTTCTTTCTTTTTCTTCCCTGCTAGCAGTTTTTTCCTCACCCTTTTGGATTTCGGATTTCGGGTTTCGGGACGTACTAGCAGCGCCCGGAACCCGGAACTCTAGCGTGCCGGATGCCGAGTGTTGATTGTACCGTGATGGAAGCTAACAATTTTTTTTTTCTTTTAGAATAACCCCGACATAAGTGCGAGTAACCTCGTACATATAAACACTGTACATAAATATATATGTACATACATACATACACACATATATATATATATAT